TCTAGAGGTGCTGTACCACTGAGCTACATCCCCAGCCCTTTTTATATTTTGTGTTGAGACAGCCTCACCAAGTTGTTTAGGTGGGACTCAAATTTGAGATCCTTCTGCCTTAGCCTACCTTCAGCACTGGGATTATAGGCATATGCCACTGTACCCAGCTGAAAGACAATGTATTTTTTAAAATAATATCTGGTACTTCAATAATGTGGTTTACCATAACTTGCCATCACATAAAATTCTTCTTTTGTTTTGTTTTGTGTTTTGTCTTTTTGAGACCGGGTCTGGCTATGCAATTCAGGCTGGCCTTGAGTTCACTTTGTAGCCCCGGCTGGTCTAGAACTTGTAAGAATCTTCCTCCCTCAGCCTCCCAAGTGCTGGGATTACAGGTGTGTGCCACCACGCCCAGCAAAATTCTTCTTTGATTGTAGTATAATTTTCTTTTTTTTTGTAAATGAGGAAAGGTTTATTTAGCTCCGTTTGTAGACATTTCAGTTCATAGTTGCCTGGCTTCAAGGCAGGGTGGCACGGTAGAGGGGCATTGCAGAGGAGAAAGTTGATGGAGGTCAGGAGAGAGCAAGCAAGGGTATAGTATGAATTTAAATGTATTTTCCTTTTAGACTTTCTGTACTGCGAATGTCTCAAGCTTTACTTCAAGCCTATCATGCCTATCATTCTGGATGGGGAAGTAAAAGATGAGTTTTATTAATTTCTTATTGTTGACAGTTAAGTAATGTGGGGTAAATGACTAATAACTGTTAAGTCTTTTAAACTAATAAGGTAATATTTCTTTTGTTGAGATGTAACTTTGTAGCAAGAAGTTTCTTTGTGGTTTAAAATCCATCTATTTATACTGACACTGACCCCATCCTTTTCATTTCTGCCACAGTTGTTTCTATTCTTCTATTCTCTGAGATTTAAAAAAAAAAAAAAAAAATCAGGGATACAGCTCAGTGGCACAGTGCCTGTCTGGCAAGTACAAGGCCCTGAGTTCAATTCCTGTTACCTCCTCTGCATCAGTCTTGGAATAATGATTGACTCTTTCCTTCAGACTGCCTCACGTTAACTCAGCAATGCTTACAAACACGTTTCTTAACCATCCCTGTCCTGTTTTCATTGATACCACCCGTATTAGCTTTCTCTCACTATAACAAATACTTGAGATAATCAACTTATCAAGAGAAAATGTTTATTTTGGGGGTTTCATGCTCATTTGGGCTTGTGACTAGGTGGTATATTTCAGCAGAAGTGTGTGGTAAAGGAAAACTGTTCACCTCATGTCCAAAAAGCGGTAGAGGAAGAGATAGGTTCCCAGAGTTGCATTAAAGGGCAGCTCCCACCCACAAGTAGCACCCACTGGGTCCTGCCTGTTAAAGTTTCCACTACTTCCCAGTAGCACCAAGTTGCAATCCCTTCAACACATGGGTGCTTGGGGGGACATTCCAGATCCAAACTATGGCAGCATCCCAGCCTAGGTTTTAAGTTCCCGCTTGGGGTGATGCAGCTGATGTCTGACTGGCTGTCACACTTTTCTGGAAGACTAAAGCAGGAGGATTGCAAGTTTGAGCCCAACCTGGGCAATTTAGCAGGACCTTATCTCAAAACAAAACTTTAAAAAAAAACAAAAAAAGGCCAGTACAAAGAACCTGGGTTCAGTCCTCAGAGGAAAAAATTAAATCAGAGTTTCTCCTTCCTGTAATACTGCACGTCTGAGCAATTAAGGGGTACTGTGGTATTTACATGGTGGCAGAGATCAAGGCTCATCTCTTGTTGCTCTGCTCGTTCCCTCATCAGTAAGTTGAAGATAGTTTACCTGGTACCATTTCCAGGTTCCAGCCTGTGGCTCGGAGGAAAACAGGAGAAAGAGCAAATACTCATGTCTTTGAAGGGCCTCCTCTAGATGTTGTGTACATAATTTCTGTGTATGTTCCATTGCCAAGAACTTAATTGTAGGCCATGCATAAATACAGGCAGCCTAGAGAAGGCATCCCTTAAAATTCTGTTTCTGAAAGAAAAGGAATCCCTGCTCCATCTTGCTAGTTGTATGTGTTTGTGTGTGCATGTGAGCAGTATTTGTTACAACTTCCTATTGCTGTGTTAGGAGAGGTTAGGAGAATTGAAAAGATGAATTTTAAGTCAAGTAATATGTGTACATGTTGAAAGAGAAAGTATAAATAGGATTTATGAAAACGATTGCTTGCTCTATTCAACTGTTTATGATTTTTCTGGTGATCATCTTCATATCTTTAAATCATATTCTTTGGTACTGTTTCTTGGTTGGTTAAATTTGAACAACATATGCTGACCTGCCAGGATGAATGAGATTGGTACACTATAACCTCCTGCCCCATAGTTACAGCATAATTTTTAGTTCTTTTGTGGTTACGTACATTTTTTTTTTGTCATACTGAGGTTGAACCCAAGACTTTGAACATGCTAGGCAAGTGTTCTACCATAGAACTATACCCCAGCCCTACATTTGCAACTTTGAGTTATGTACTTTTATTTTTTGTTCCATCATTTATAAACTTTACTGCTTCTTTCACTGGTGGTACTGGGAATTGAACATTTACACTGTACTACTTTCTTAGCCCTTTTTTTATTTTGAGACAATCTTGCTAAGTTAAGTTGCCCAGGCTGGGGTCAAACTTTGATTCTCCTGCCTCAGCCTCACAGAGTGCTGGGATTACTGGCATGTACCACCTTACCCAGCTTTTTTTTTTTTGGTACTGGGAATTGAACCCAGGAGCACTTTACCATTTTGCTACATCACCAGACCTTTATTATTATTATTATTAGTTGTTGTTGTTTTGAGATAGGGCTCACTATGTAGTTCAGGTTGGTCTTGAACTTACTATGTAACCAACGTTGGCCTCAAACTCACAACAATCCTTTTACCTTAACCTCCGCACTGCTGGCATTATAGGTGTTATCACATCTGGCATGGAGACAGGTCTTGCTAAGTTGCCCAGTTGTCTTAAATTTGAGATTCTTCCTCAGCGTCTCAAATAGCTTGGGATTACAAGTGCACTTTGTTAACTTTAAAAGTTGAAAATCACTAGCTATCACTGATATTTATGACTATGTCAGCCTTTACTGAGCACCATAGTGCACTGAGTTTATTCTCTCTTCTGTGTGTTTAAACATCACAGATTCCTTTACTAAAGTTTTTTTTTTTTCCATACCAGGAATTGCACTCAGGACCTTGCACTTGCCAGGCAGGAGCTTGTGCTGCTGGGCTGTACCCCTTTGTGCGCTGGCCTGCCCTCCTTTACTAAAGAAAAATAGCAAATGTTTTTCCCTTTGTTACACTTAATTGCTTGAAATCATATCACATTTTACTTTACTTCATACTACAAATTATGACTCCTGAATTGTATTTTTGTTTTTTCTTAGAACTTGATTTATCCTCTGTACTCTTTGTTGAAGTTGGGAAGAGAAACATATGGCTTTTTAACATGACCTTAATTTTTTCAAGCTTTTTATTATTTGGTTTATATCTTGAATTCTGTTACACTCACCTTTTTGTACCCTCTTAATTTCTCATTTGGATCAGTTGCATGTTTGGACAATATTAGCCATTATTATAATTATTTAATGAGGGTCCTGGACTCTGGGCTGCAAGCAGATTGAGTATGGGTGTTTCTCAAGCTGTTCATGATTTAGGAAAGCCTAGTGTAGTTGCACATGTAGTTCTAATTAGGTTTTACATGCAGAGTAAAACAACAGATGTCTTTGCTGGTTGGTAGAAAAATTTCAGGGCACTGACAGTTGTATATGTCAGAAATTACCAAAAATAGGAAAATAAAAAAATGACTTAATAACTTAGTAATGTATTTTTGTTTAAGAAATTTTCAAAAATGGAATCCTGGGCAAAAAATAAGTAACTTTGTGGTGAAAATTTTGGGAAGCACATGATGACAGCCTAATAAAAATTTCATTTATTTCTGGAATGTTAAAATGAGGTCCATGTATTTAATCTTACAGATGTTAGATCTGAGAGGACAGAATATAGCTGTCTTGTTTATTATAATTATAATGTAGCACGGTCATATGTCTTAAACAGGAAACATGTTGTAGGACTAAATGAGAGCTTTATTAAATGATAACTCCATGCAAGATACCATGAGAGTTATTGAAATTTCTTATTTACTTAATCTTAAAGAGCTAGCTGTTGGGGTGGGCAATTATACATATTATTGACCTTGCTTTCCTTGAAAAATAAACTTCTACATCAATATGTGAGCCAAGTCTTTACTCTTTCTGTGGTTGCTCCTTTTTATCATCTTTGAAGGTTCTACCTGCTTTTGTATATCTCAAATGTTGGCTGTCATTTTTTCTTATCTGTGTGTTCTTCCCTGGACACTTTAAATTCACTCTTCACTTTTTTTTTTTTTTTGGTCTTTTTGAGACAAGGTCTCACTGTGCAGTTCCAGCCGGCCTTGAGCTCACTTTTGTAGTCTAGGCTAGCCTCGAACTCTCAATGATCCTCCTGAGTGCTGGGATTATAGGCATGCGCCACCATGCCTGGCTTCATTCTCATTACTTTTTAATTGCCATCTACATAAATGGAAACCTGTATCTATCCTAGATCTCTTTCCTGAGCCCCACATCCATGTGTCCAATTGATGGATGAATATCTTCATCTGACTTGTATCAGCCATGGCCCCTGATTGAATAAATTAATTATCCTTTTCCTCCTTAACACTGATGATTCTCCAAGGTTTCTCAAACCATTGAATGGCTTATCTCAACCATTAATGTCACACCCACCTTCAAATCCAGCCTGTCTATCCATACATTACCTACTAAATATAACTCACATCCTGCTGTTCTCTACCCAGAGTGTCTTCCTTAAAGACCAGGTTACCATTACCCAGACTGTTGCAGTGATTTCCAGCCTTGCTCTCTTCCAGTCCAGTCTCTAAATTGTGGCCAGAGTCATATTTCTAAATATATCTGCTGTCACTCTCTGCTTAAAATGTTTGCCTCATTCATTTCAGAAAATGGAATCATAAAGACAGATAAAGTATTTGAAGTGATGCTGGCTACAGACCGCTCCCACTATGCAAAGTGTAATCCTTATATGGATTCTCCACAATCAATAGGTATGTGCTAGATTTCTAAAAATACTATATTTTCTTCAGTTATTCTATAATGCTTGTAATTTAAAAAGGATCAGAACACAGTTACTTATCTATTATTACCCTGCTAATTTTGAATTTCCTAATCCCAAACATACTTACTTTTCTTTACTTTAAAAGGAAAACAAACAAAATTTCAACAAAATTTCAAAACAAGATAATAGGAGGATAACAATGGTTAATATGTTGTGTATTATTATCTTTAAAATAGTTACTCAGAGTACAAGATATCGGCATTTAACAGTATTTATTGTACATTTGGATCTTGTGAATATTTTTTTCTATGTCTTAAACCATGTTTAATATGAATTTTAAATTTTCTTTAAGAAGTTCTAAATTTTTTCTTAAAGAATATTTCTGTGAAAAAACAAGACTTTCAAAGAAAACTGATTGTTTTAGATGAGTGTTAAAATTTCTCTCCAGGTCTTAATGTTGAGCTTTCGCATAAGCATTCTTTTTTTTTGTTTTGTTTTTTTTTTGTTTTTCTCTGGTACCGGGAACCGAACTCACGACCTTGCGCTTGCCAGGCAGGCGCTTTTGCCGCTGAGCTAAATTCCCAGCCCCAAGCATTCATTTTTTAAACATCAGTATTTAGGGGCTGGGCGTGGTGGCGCACACCTGTAATCCCAGCACTCGGGAGGCTGAGGCAGGAGGATCCTTGCGAGTTCGAGACCAGCCTGGGCTACAAAGTGAGCTCAAGGCCAGCCTGAACTGCATAGTGAGACCCTGTCTCAAAAAGGCAAAAAAAAAAAAAAAAAAAAAAAAAAAATCAGTATTTAAAGGAAATAAAGTATAATTGTTAGTGGCTTTTGGCTTTACTTGCCCTGATTTGGGGGCTTGTGTTTGTTTTTTTTTTTGTTTGTTTGTTTTGTTTTTCTTCCGGTACCAGGAATCGAACTCACGACCTTGTGCCTGCCAGGCAGGCGCTTTTGCTGCTGAGCTAAATCCCCAGCCCCTGGGGGCTTGTGTTTGTTTCTAGAAAGTTCCATTTTAACTCCTTCTCCTGAAGCAGGTTTACTGAACTGCTGAGCCTTGGCAGTGGGCGCCTTTGAGGCTTAGAAGGGCCTCAGGATTCTGTCGGCCAGCTCCATGCTGTCTTCTTTTGAAGCACTGTGGCAGTCAGCAAGAAGATCCTGGGGAGCTTCTGAACCCCGAAGGCACCTGCTACCACCGCTCAGTGAAAACTGCTTCAGAGACAGAAGCAGGTAAAAAAACTTTGACAAAGTAACAATGGAAGAAAAGAGCTAAAAACTAAAAAAAAAAAAAAAAAATGTTGTGAATTAACAGTAGATGATAATACTTAGCAAATTGAAGCAGTTTTTAGTTTCTTAAGTTACTTTGTCTAGTTTCTTTTCCCCTAAAGTTGTCAGAAATATGAAATAGTTTAATTTTATAAAGATTTTGCTTAGTTTAGTAGTCTCTTAAGCTACTTTGATTGTCTGAGTTTTTTCTAAAGTTGCCAGAAATATCAAACAGTTGAATTTTGTGAAGATTTTGCACAGTAATTATATATGGAAGTGTTTTCTTTTTATAAATCTGGAGAAAAAATAAGTTAAACTCTACCAACTCTAAACTTATTAAAAACCCTCCTTGTTAGCTAATTATATATACATATGAAATTTTTAGAAATGATGGGACTAGTGTACTAGATGAGCATACTAGTCACTGGCATGATTGTATTTTCTTTTTTTTTTGTTTTTTTTTTTTTCCGGTACCGGGAATCAAACTCATGACCTCCCGCTTGCCAGGCAGGTGCTGTGCCACTGAGCTAAATCCCCAGCCCCTAATGATTGTATTTTCTAACTTTAATTGCTGTGTTTTAGTATTCTAACAAATTTTGTTTCCTTGAGATTATAAAAACTCAAAAAGAATTGTGGAAAACAATGTATGGATGTTAGGAAAGGAACTATTTAAAGTATTTGGTGTGTTTTTACAGCTGACTGTATCAGTAGTTCTCTTCTTATTTTACAGGTTTCCAAGCAACAATCAGTGCTCCACATATGGTAAGTTAACATTTTTCATTTGGTTACAAATGGATCACATTTTTCTTATAATTTTTTTCATGGAAGAAGGGTTAAAGTTTTAAATTTTAATTATGTCAGTTTTATCATCTGTGAATTATGTAACTGGTAATAAACATCTGATGCTTTTATACATGGTGTCTAGAAGGAATTCTTGTTTGAAATAATGTTAAAACTTTGTGTCTCTCAGTACCTATAAGCATGTAAAATTTCAGTGTAATAGTTATTTAGTTGTGAGTTGAGGAAAGACTATTTTAAATAGTACATTGGCCATGTTACAGAAATCTCCAGTTGGATATTTAACATTTTATCTGGAAAAATCATTCGGGGATGGCTAAGTATAGCAACTATGAAGCTGCTTAACCTTGAGCAGGATCTGTTTGAAGTGATCTAGCACTTTTAATCTTCTGGGAATTTTCTTGGGTTTTAAATGTCAGTTGTCTGAATGAGTACTCTGTTGGATTTTAGTGGAGAATACAATAGCTTTTTTGATTCTCTTTAATTATTTGGGTTGGAGAAGCTCTTTTTTTCGTTTTTCCTTTGCAGTATTTATGGATTGAACCCAGGGCCTGGTACACAGGAGGCAAGAACTTTACCACTGGAAAATCTATGATTTAAACTTAACTCTGAATAAAACTTGCATATGTGTTTATGGTGAACTGATAATAGTATTAAAAGAAAAATGTAGTACTTATTTATAAAAATTGAATATAAATGGCTTCTGAAAACATGACAGAGCTGGGCGTGGTAGCACATGCCTGTAATCCCAGCATGTGGGAGGCTGAGGCAGGAGGATTATTGTGAGTTTGAGACCAGCCGGGGCTACAAAGTGAGCTTAAGGTCAGTCTGAACTGCATAGTGAGACCCTGTCTCAAAAAGAAAAAACAAAACAAAACAGCAAAAACATGACAGAAACACAAGAGCCATTAAAAAATCCTGATACATTTTGCAACATTAAAATTTAGAATTTTTGCAGATAAAAAGTATTATGGGCTAAATTAAAAGAAAAACTGAGAGACATATTTGTAATACATATGACAGCTTAAGGAAAATTGCTGTACCTGCACACACGCATATGTGTGTATGTGTCCTTTAAATTAATGAGTAAAAGACCAATAAATCAAACACAAAATGGGTAAAAGATAAAATTGATAACTCACTGAAAAATAAGTACAAGTGATACTGATAGTCAAATTACATCACCTTAAATTTAGTAAATTTCAAATTAGCACTACAGTGACATACTATTTTTCACATATCAGATTATCAGATCAAAGAGTTTGCTATTTTGAGCTAGGTATAGTGATGCTTGCCTGTAATCTTTAGCCCTTAGGAGGCTGAGGCAGGAGGATGCTGTGTCTTTGAGGCCAGACGGGGCTACACAGTGAGTTCAAGGCCAGCTTGCACTATAGAGCAAGACCCTGTCTCCAAAAACAAAAACTACCTTGTACTAGAAAAGGGAAGCTGGTAGCACAGAGCAGTGACTTTGGTGAAAGCATTTGTTGAGTGTATTTGGGAGGCAGTTTGCCAGTATATATCAATGTGTAAAATAAATATAAAACATCTGAGTTTTACAGTATTTATTCTATGATATGTTTGCATAAGTGGAAAATGAGTTATCTAGATTTATTCTTCCTTCTTTTCTCCTTCCCGCCCTTCCTCCCTTCCTTCCTCCCTCCCTTCCTTCCTTCCTTCCTTCCTTCCTTCCTTCCTTCCTTCCTTCTGTCCGACTGGGTTTCATTATGCAGTTCAGACTGGCCTTGAACTTACTATGTTGCTGAAGCTGGCCTCAAACTCACAGTGATCCTTCTGCCTCAGCCTCCTGAGTACTGGGTTGTTTTTTTTTTTTTTTTTTTTCCCCGGTACTGGGAATCGAACTCACAACCTTGAGCTTGCCAGGCAGGTGCTGTGCTGCTGAGCCAAATCCCTAGTCCTGAGCAGTGGGATTATAGGCATGCACCAATAAGCCTGTCCTGACACGTTATTTATAATGGAGGAAAAAAGCAGTAGCTGCTAATAGTTCGGTAGTGGATTGTTAATAATAGTGCATCCATATAGTAGCTATTAAATGGAGAAGCTCTGCAAGTACGAAGATGGCAAGGTCTGCAAGAAATATCTAGAGGGCAGAGGTATTTAGTGTATTCTGTAATACACAAAGATTGACGCACACATACATGTTTCTCTATAGAAATGAAAACTGAAAACCATTCCTTCTGAGGCGGGAAATTAGATGACTTGGGGGTATGGGAGGGGAAATGAGGTCATCTTTTCACACTATTCCCTGATGTTTTGATCAGTTTGTTTTGTTATCCTTTCTTAAGCCATGGAATAGGAATAGCTTCTTTATGCATTACCTATTCAAAGAAATGAATAATTGGTTTAAAGATTATAGTCTTAAGATCCTTTTACATTGTACTATTTAAAGTGAAAGATGTATGTGGAATCATTCACCTAATCCTGAGGATTGCTTTGGAGAACTGGTATCCAGGTTGTTTTTGAAACTGAATAGAGCGGTGTGTTTTTAGGTATTAAGCGAAATACTATGTGATTGTCTTTTCCGTCCTCTGAGGTTTGGTTCTGGGTATGCAGTTCACTACCAAACAAAACTCATGGTGATCCTTTTGCCTCAGCCTCTAGAGTGCTGGGATTATTTTGTGGCAAATATTTAATTTTTTTTTTTTGTGTGTGTGTGTTTGTTTTTGGTCTTTTTGAGACGGAGTCTCACTGCAGTTCAGGCTGTCCTTGAGCTCACTTTGTAGCCCAGGCTTGTCTTGAACTCGCAAGGATCCTCCTGCCTCTGCCTCCCAAATGCTGGGATTACAGGCATGTGCCACCACGCCTGGCAAACAGAAACGCATTCTCTCTCTCTCTCTCTCTCTCTCTCTCTCTCTCTCCCTCTCTATCTCCCTCTCTCTCTCTCTGGTACTGGGAACCAAACTCGGGACCTTGTGCTTGCCAGGCAGGTGCTTGTGCTGCTGAGCTATATCCCCGGCCCTTAATTTTGAAAAATATCACTATTACCTTATAATTCACATGTGGTATTTGAGAATTCATCCCTTTAAAGGATGTAAGTTTGTAACTTTTATTTTGTTCAGAGTTGTGGAAACATCACTACCATCTGCTTTCGAGACATTTTTATCACCTTCAGAAGAGACTCTGTGCCTGTTAGTAGTCTTGTCCCTCACTCTGCCCAGGTGCAGGCGGCTGCGAAACCAGTTTTTAGTAGTTATTTTTATGAATTTTCCTATTTGGGACATTTTGTATATGTATAAATTTTGTATAAATCATGCAACATGGACTTTTGTGATTGGCCTTTTAAATTTACTTTTGAGACATGGTTTTGTTATGTAGTTCAGGCTGGCCTTGAACTCATGGTGATCCTCCTGTCTCAGCCTCTACAGTGCTGGGGCCTGGGTGGGCTTTTAAATTCAGCATAATGTTTTCAAGTTCATGTAGTCTAAATCAGTAGTCCATTAATTTTTATACTAAATAATCCTCCATTGTGTGGATATCACAGTTTTTTTTATACATTCATCTGTTGATAGATATGTGGATTGTTGCCACCTGTTGTTTATTCTGAATGCTACTATGAACAAATAATTTCTGTTTGGTTTGTGTAGGATCACATGTTTTCACTTCTCTTGGGTGTATGTCTAGTAGTAAAAGTACTGGTGTTATATGGTAACTCTTGAGTATTTCACATTTAGAGGAACTGCTAATCTGACTTCCAAACTGGTTGCATCACTTTTGCAATCATATCAGCAATGTATGGGATTTCCAATTTTCTACTTCCTTGTTCACGTTTGTCCCGGTCTGTTTTATTTTATCCATCTTAGTGACTAGATGTGGTATATTGTGGTGTTAATTTTCATTTCCCTAATGATTAATGATGTTGCATATCTTTTTTGTTTGATTGCTGGCTCTTTACATCTTAGGAGAAATGTTTCTTCCAGTCTGTTACCATTTCTGAACTGGGTAGTCTTTCTGTTTTTGAAAAAGATGTACTTAAAATTTTAAAAATGTGCTAAAGTACATATAATTGTGTCAAAATACTTAATCTATGTTATAAAAATATATAACATACACATAGTATATAAAACAACCATTTTTAAAAAAAATAATTAGATCCTGTTTCGCTACTTACTGTTTAAATGATTAACTTACTGGATGATTTGGTACACAGTTACAAAAACATGTACTAGGAGAGAACATGGCAAAAACTACAATAATAAAATTCAGTCAAGTTCTGAATTTGGGGCTTATGACGGAATGTAGGCGGTAAAATCATTACAAAAAACTGAAAACCATGACTTCGTACAGTGGTGAAACAAGTAATAAAACTTGCCTGGGTTAACGTGGGTGACAAAAAATATACCAACGTTATACAGTACTGCCTAATACAGAGCCACTAGCTGCAAGTAGTTTTTTAAATTTAAATAAAATTAGATTCCCCAGTCATATTACCCACCTTTCAATTGCATGATAGTCACATGTAAGAAACAGAAACCACTTTACACAGTACAGATGTGGAACAGTCTCATCATGGTCTAATGTTGAGGTTAATGTCGAGCCCCCTCTGTTGGGGGCTGTTCGTGGTGATTCCTGTGGTTCATCTTGGCACCTGCTCCTGGCTGAGGTGCTAAAATATGTTACTGTGTTATGGGGTGCAGGAGTCTTCTTCTAGAGGTGGTTTTAGGTACTTTCTGTCCTGAACAAAGAATTCTTTGTCAAGACAGGTGAAAACAGTAATGGGGTTTTACATTTATTGACAATAGGAGAAGAAAAGAAACATGCTCTGCAGAATGAGTTTGGGCCAAGTAGAAGTAGGAAAAGTACACTCTAGCTGGATTTGGGGGTGTACATCTGTAACCCCAGCATTTGGGAGGCTGAGGGAAGAGGATTGCTGTGAGTTCGAGGGCAGCCTGGGCTACGTAGTGAGTTCAAAGACAGCCTGAACTATATAGTAAGACCTTGTTCCCCAC